GGCTAAATTATTTTTGTTACTATGAAAAAAATCAAAACGACGGTGGGGGGCGGTGCCGCGGTAGGCAAATGACGTAAGCGGTGTTGCGGCTTAAAACCGAAAACACCGTCTATCGCAACAAGCCTATTCTATACTGAAATCATCCAAAAATCACGTCACAACTAGGGATGTGCGGGTCTAGTCGACTAAACGGTAAAGCTCCTACTAGTCGGCACTGAAAACAATAGTCGATTACACGACAGACAAAAAAAAACAAAAACATGATTTTTAATGATGATTTTACCATCATTTTAACATTGCATTTAAAACATTTTAAATAACAAGTTAAAATAAAACGTTTGAAAAATAATACATTATTTTGAAAAGTTTATCTGGGCGGAAACTACATTTTTTAGATTAAGTATTTCAAATATAGGCTATTATAAATGCTACACGCACACACAGAGGTTTTTTTTTCTTACGATCTTTTGGGGGTTTCTTGCTTTTAGACTAGTCGACCAAACAGCTGTGAACAAGGGTCCTAGATTATTTTCAATGCAAATATGTATAAAAAATTAGATTTGCAAATTCTGTTCTTATTCTTATTTACATTTTTACACAGCTTTTTTGGAATTGGAGTTTAAAAAAAAACTGCTGTTCACTCTTTTCTATGCAATTATAATAAACAGGGACTTTTATTATACAAAACAATGAGATTAGAATCAGCACAATCTGACTTTGATATAATGATCAGAAGTTATTTAGATCGCAACAAGCCTATTCTATACTGAAATCATCCAAAAATCACGTCACAACTAGGGATGTGCGGGTCTAGTCGACTAAACGGTAAAGCTCCTACTAGTCGGCACTGAAAACAATAGTCGATTACACGACAGACAAAAAAAAACAAAAACATGATTTTTAATGATGATTTTACCATCATTTTAACATTGCATTTAAAACATTTTAAATAACAAGTTAAAATAAAACGTTTGAAAAATAATACATTATTTGTAAAAGTTTATCTGGGCGGAAACTACATTTTTACCTCAGACC